GAGCATCAAGAAGCAAAACAATCCTACAGGATCCCTGTGATTCCAGGGGGCACACACACAGAGATATATATATATATACACATGTAAAAAGGCTTTGCTTGCGTGACTCTTGAGGGAAGCCTCATCGAAGGGCTCCAACCAAACATCTTCAGTGCAAGTCTCTGGCAGCTTTGCTGCTGAGGGATCTGACGAAGCGTTTGCTTCCGACGGCATGGCTCGGAAATCAATCCATTGAGTGAGATGTGTTGCTGAAGTGCTTGCATATGTTGCATCCACGCACTCTTTGAGGGCTCAGGATTGCTGATCAATCGAGTATACAGTTTTTTGTCATGAGCCTACTTGGTAGGTAGGTTTAGCGATGCATGACTTCACATGTCTTAGAAAGATCGAATTTAAGTTTAAGGTTTTGCACTTTCATATGGCTACTAGTGTCGTGCACTTTACAATTTGGTTCGATCCAGATTCAAGCTGTTCAAATATCCATCGAGAAGACAATCAAACGAGATCACCGTGGCAACTTACCTGCCATGCCACGTCTGACATGCCTTCCGTTCTCTACTTGGGGGTTGGGCTCTCCAGGCTCCAACTAAGCGAGAAGAGCTCGGGTGTTGCACCCACCTTGGCCAAACGAAGTTCAATCACCGGAGCTCAAAGAGGTGTGCCGTTTAAACTGTTTGATCAGCATGAATTGCCCAGGCTCAAGGCTCGATGGAGTACGTCCTCAGTGGTGGCAGGATTGCAGCTTCGCCCAAAAAATACAGCAGCATCAGTCGAGCTTGGTGTGAGGCATCTTTGCTTGCCGCTTCCAGCACCTCCATTCAGTCTTCTGAATCGAAGAACTGAGTCGAAACAGCCTGCCATGAACGCCACCCAGCCACGGTCAAACATCCATGTCAAGGAGGACAGAATTGATGCAAAAGCTGGGTTGAAGGAGTTCCGAAGGCCTTTGATTCAATCTCAGTGGAACTGTGGTCTCCTCGGTGGGCTCCAAGCTGACATCCTCACACAGCACAGGTGCCACAGATTAATAGGAACTCTGCATTTATGTGGTCACGATTGCTTCTGTGCTCAATGTCGGAAGAGTTCTCTGCATCCAATATGCTGAAGGCAGCCACCCCTCCCACATTCAGCTGAGGAGTGCAATGAGTAGGGCCGTTGCTACTTTGCCCATGAAATCGTTGTCTGACCTCATCAGCGACCAACAACCATCACACAGACTTGCATATTATTGCGCAAAGCTGGGGGCATAGAATCAAAGTCATAGATCATGAAGGCCACACGCTGCCAGCTCGCCTACAATGAATAGCAGGACCCTCAAACCACTCAGCAATCCATGCAGTTTAGAGTTGAGAGTGAGACATTGAGACGCGACGGAGACAATAATGGACCAAGGTGAAGCACTGAGCACAAGAAGCTACTAGTAACAAGGACACTATTAGGTGGAGGCCCGGTATCGCAAACAGGTTGGAGGCCATCGCAAGTAGGTTGGAGGCCATCACTAGTCACTAGTAACAAGAAGCTACTAGTAACAAGGACGCTATTAGGTCGAGGCCATCGCAAGTAGGTTGGAGGCCATCGCTACTAGTGACAAGAAGCTACTAGTGTCAAGGACGCTACTAGGTGGAGGCCATCGCAAGTAGGTTGGAGGCCAGCTACTAGTAGCAAGGACGCTATTAGCTCGAGGCCATCGCAAGTAGGTTGGAGACCATCGCTACTAGTGACAAGAAGCTACTAGTAACAAGGACGCTATTAGGTGGAAGCCATCGCAAGTAGGTTGGAGACCATCGCCACTAGTGACAAGAAGCTTCTAGTAACAAGGGAACTATTAGGTGGAGGCCATCGCAAGTATATAGGTTGGAGGCCATCGCTACTAGTAACAAGGACGCTATCAGGTGGAGGCCGTCGCAAGTAGGTTTGGAGGCCATCGCTACTTGTGACAAGAAGCTACTAGACAAGGACGCTATTAGGTGGAGGCCATCGCAAGTAGGTTGGAGACCATCGCTACTAGTGCCAAGCTACTAGCATCAAGGACGCTATTAGGTGAAGGCCATCGCAAGTAGGTTGGAGGCCATCGCTACTAGTGACAAGAAGCTGCTAGTATCAAGGACGCTACTAGGTGGAGGCGATCGCCAGTAGGTTGGAGGCCAGCTACTAGTGACAAGAAGCTACTACTAACAAGGACGCTATTAGGTGAAGGCCATCGCAAGTAGGTTGGAGACCATCGCTACTAGTGACAAGAAGCTGCTAGTATCAAGGACGCTACTAGGTGGAGGCGATCGCCAGTAGGTTGGAGGCCAGCTACTAGTGACAAGAAGCTACTAGTAACAAGGACGCTAATAGGTGGAGGCCATCGCAAGTAGGTTGGAGACCAGCGCTACTAGTGACAAGAAGCTACTAGCAACAAGGCGTCAGAGATAGAATCAAGGTGAAGCACTGTGTACACTTTGAGATCTGGACACTACAAAAGTGTTGGCAATATGCCCGGGCAACCTGTGAGCGGGGTTTAAGCCACCACGCACAAAAAAAGAAAGCAGAAAGTGTTGCGCAACTCAAGGTCACAAGCATTGCACCAAAGGGTTCCTAACTCTAGGCTGGTCGCACAAGAAAGAACAAGAATGGGTCCATCGAATGCCAACCACATTGCGCCGCATGCAACTCTTACAATTGACCTAAAGCAAAACTGTGCCTCACGCAGATTATCAAACGTCAGTTCCATGTGTTTGACAGCTTGGAACCGGCTCGATGTACTTGCGACGCTGGCATACAACCTATATGGCTGACATATCGAGCCTCGCGAGCGGTTGCTCGCCCATGAACTGAATTGCTTGCCCGGGGGCTGGGTGGAGGAACTCCAACACCGCCATACTTTTGCGCTTCATGAGTGGGCTTGGCTTTTAGTGAACTTGCACGAATGCAGTCTACTAGTAGCAAGTATAGAAATGTGTGACCCAATCAAAACCTTAAACACATTCCTCTGCCTCTACCAGCCGTCCAAACCCTCCAACACCAACAACCAAAAGCAACAAACAACAACCACAAAGGGATGCGGTCACAGATTGAAAAGACCAAGCGTGTCAAGCGACTTTTGAATCTTTTGACTCCATTTTACTCGAACCCCTTCTCGCAAGAGCCAGCATCTCCTTCCCCTGCGCAGCACCTTTGCAGATAGAAACAAAACCTAACAAAACGATGCTTGGTGTGGGTCAAAGTCACGGTCGCAGAAAAAATAGCTGTTTAACCTCCGGACGAGAGCGAGGAGATAGCAGCACTTGTTCTCAAATTGTCATCACCATCCCAGGCCATGTCCAAAAGAGCTGTTAGACTGGCAGTAATTGGCTTGTGAGGTTAGTGCTTAGGGTAGCAGCCGGCCACATGCAAAGTTCGAGGCAAACAAGCCACAAGCTGACAGAACCATGTGCAGAAACCAATGCGCTCCTCCCTTCCACAGACAGAGTTGGAGAGGACGAAAGAGAGGAGCCCAAAGCAGAACTTGAGGACCAATCAAGGGATTACAGTATTATCCAAAGCCGCCGGCCCTGGGGCACGGCGTGTTTTGGGTATATGGTTTGTTTTTTGTTAGTTCTTTGTTAAGCTATGTCTTGTCTGTTTTAGTGCTCCCCCGGGCGGATTATTGAACGGTCTAACCTGACCCCCCCCCCCCCCCCCCCCCCCCGGTGCAACACACTCACACCCCCATGATGCTGGTCGGTGTTTGCGCTGTCTCTTGTTTGTACTTTTTGGTTTCTATGTCATATGCTGCTTTGTATTTCTTTTGTGAGGACATGCCTTTCCGAGAGCCTAGGGCTTCGCGGCTTCACCCAACGTCCCACCGCTGCACCGCGCTTACACCCACTAAGTTGGCTTTCTCGCTGCGGCCAAAAGGGCCGGCGGAACAATCCGCAGGTGTAAATACATTCTTTATCCTTTATCAGACCCCTTTTGCCTGGACTCGTGATGACACGTGAGATTGGTTTTCATGTCTGTGTCACCTTCGGACTGTAAGATGCTAACGCTGCTAATGTTCACCCAGCAACCTCCCAGGACAGCCGTAGAATACCACCAGTATAGTATCTCCAGTACCTCGGCTCAACATAAGCTTCTGCTTCTAATCGCACGTTCCATTGGCATGACTTTCTCTGCTGCATTTCAAGGGGTCAAAGGCCACACAAAGGTATAGTACATTATGACATAGATTGAGTCTGCATGATTGTCTTTCATCCCCCGTCATCTCTCCTTTTTCGTCCTGTTTATATGGCTGGCAACATTGACACTCTTAATTTCCCGTTGTCGACATCTAACTCAACTATCCGCACGCGTACTGGCTGCCCCAGTTCCAGCATGCCAACCTTGGGCAACTCAGTTCCAGCATACCGCTCCCATGAGTTCAAGAAGGATTTCAGAATGTCTCAAACACCACAGAGCAGCAATCAACACCAAAAGCCTCTGACCAACATGTACAACATATAATATACAGCCAGTTCTACAAATAGCCAGAGTTGGCTGTGGTATGTGTGGGCATAGCTGCCCTATGGATTGGAAAGAACATGAAACAGCATCAAACAGGGAAAATACAAAAAAAAACAGGCACGCATGGCCGAGGCCTGATAGCATGTACAGCAGTGTGGTTGCAAAATTGAGCTTTCCTTCACCACACTGCTTGTCAGCCATGTCAAACAAAACCTCAGGAAGCCTCAATAAGCAAGCTTAAAGTACACACAAACACACATACATACAGTACACACATGTCTTTTGTGTATGCATGTATGCGCGCCGGTGATTGAGAAATAGGTATGGAGAGAAATCTGAGGCTGTGGCACAGTGGTGAGGTAGGAGCAAGGCATCTGCTTCAGTTCCAGTCTCCAACCGAAGCGTCACAAATAACGCGGCATCAGTGATATGAGTCACACATCCCAAAAGCAGCTGATCTGCTGGGACTTGTTGAAACTCTCGTAGAAACTCTTGCGTAGCTTCCGGTGTAGTTCGGGGTGTCCGACGTGACCGTCGTCGTTCATCGTGTTCTGCTCGTTTCGGAGCGTCCAGCATCGACAGTTTCAGCTTTCCGCGGCGCAGGTCCACCGAATCGATCCGGACGTCCAGCACGTCTCCCACAGTCAGACTGACCTGATGGTCGTCCAGGGACACCCAGGGTCATTGAAGATGTGTGTTTTATCTACATCCTAGGTCCTATTTCCTATGATTTCCTCTCTTTCAACCTAACCCACACCTAGCAAAGAACTTCTTCCATCTGTTCGGGATGCATGAAAGTTCATGAATCAAGGGCCCCTGTGAATGAGAGAACCACAAGTTCAAGTTGCGGACATGCTGCACCAGGCAAAATCGCAGATTTGTGCAGAAGTCCCTCCACAACGGCATCAGCATTCTCCGGCTTTACAGCTACAAAGGCACCGAACCCCATGACACGGACCACTTTGCCTTGGACCCAGTGGTCTAACGGAAGAGCTGGTGTGACCCGGCCAACCATGGATTTTGCCCCCTTCATTGACAAAATCATCTTGCCTGAGTTGGCATCAATTGAGAGCACTCGGACCTGGACCTTCTGACCTGCGGACAGGACATCGTTCACAGATGACACATATGCATCACTCAGCTCCGAGACATGTAGAAGCCCATCCAGGCTGGCACCACTCAAGAATACTGTCACAAAAGCAGCTTTGGAGTCCAAGATCTTCTTCACCGTCCCTTCAACCCATTGCTCAGCCGTCAACTCCAAGAAAGGCCGAAAGTCGCTCTCAATGAGTTCTGCAACCATTGAAACACTGAAATGTCCGTCCTTCTTGCCGCTGACCCAGACATCTATCTGCTGCCCCTCTTGAAGGGCATCGAGTGGATTGTCAATCCAATCCACGGCCATCCTACTCACGGGTAGCAATCCATGCTCTTCAGCACCAATGTCCACGAATGCCCCATGGCTATTGACGTCAAAGACAATGCCAGAATATTTTTCACCTATTTGAAGCTTGCGGACCGGTATCAACGCAGCTCTCATTTGAGAAGCTGTCACCACTATCTCCTCTATGCCATCTTCAGGCACATCCCACTTGACCAAATAGGAACCATTTTGGTAGTTGGATTTGAGACGACCGGGGTACCACATACAATCTTCCTCATAGTACGTTAGCACCTCATCTCCCACCTGATACGTTCGGCCTGGGACGTTCACTGGTGCAGCTCTAGCAGTCACAAGAGCCATGGCTCTTGAGACGGAGCCAAGGCGGCCAAGGCGGCCAAGGCCCGGGCAGTTGCCGCTCGGTCGCACCAAAGCGCTCAAAGGTTTCTTCGAACAAAAACGACAAACAAACCAGGCGGCCAGGATCCAACAGAACCGGCGCGACATGGCAACAATTGCATGGAGCTCCGTCAATCACTCGACATTCTTGCCTAGTTGCTATGCGGCAGCAAAACTGCACTCATGCGCATGCATATCGGTCCATATGGCGCAGTCTTGGGAAATCAAGTGATGATAAGTGATGTATGATGCATGTTTGTTGAATGTTCCTGACTGCCAACTTTTAAGTTCTCTTTCCTGAACCTAGTTCGACGGCCGCCAAAACATCCACCGGCGAGGGGATTGACAAATTCAAAGCGGAGTTGACCGTCTTCGCCGAGGTGAGCACTTTGAACGGTCATGTTGGCTGCTTGCTGTCAGAGAGGCATGCCTCATTTCAGGATGAAACCATATGGCGTGGTTGACTTAGAGAACTCCCACAAAAACATCATGAAAACTGAAACCGCCCTGCCAACAAATCCAAGAGCTGCTGGCAAGAGGCTTTTCGATGGTGTTGAGCTCTGATCGGCCCCAGTCAAAAATTGAGACGATTGTCTTCTGACCTGGGATGGGCTGCGTGCTGTGGCTGTTGGAAGCACAACGGTAGCACAAACAGATTGCTCGCCCGGCCATCTCCGAGATTCTCCACCTTTTACCTACATGCAGACAGACAGAAACACAAACAGACTGACAGACTGAGTGACAGACAGACACACAGGCATACATACATTACCATACATTACATTACATACAATGCGGTACAAAATAACAGGCATACAACCATAGAACCATACAAAAATACAATACAACACAATACAAAACATCACAATGCAATACAAAACAGTACAATACAATACATACCATACATACAATGCATAGCATAACATAACATACCATACCATACAATACAATACAATACAAGACTGCACAATAACAAACACACATACTTACATATTGAATTACATACATACATACATACATACATACACGGCTCAAGTCCTTTCAGGTCTCAAACCGGTCCAATACCAACCCGGTTACAGGAGTAACCGCCATTGGAGCCGAGCACTGAAGACCTCAAAGGCACTGGTGCTTTGCCCGCTATAGAGAGGGACATCTTGCACGGCAAGGCTATCACCAGTACTACCACCAGGGACCCTCAACCTGCGGGACATCCTGAAACTGGTACTACTTCCCCGAGGAATCCCCGGGCCAGAACGCGGTCTGTGCGCTGATCCACAAACTTCAAGCTGAACAATAAGCACGCCATTGACGGCCACCGCTTCCGGAACAATGCCTTCACAATGGGGAAGGGCCTACATGGTATGTCAGCACAGCTCGTGCTCCAACTGATGGTCAAATTTTGGGGATCCAGTGGGACGCTTTTTTCAATCTGCTGACACTCAATTTGAGCCTTTGGATCAAGAACAACCACAATGGGTTTGCCGCGATGCATCAGGCTCTGAGTCAGCACAGGGGAGACTTCTTGCAACATGTGCAGGGGACAAGACACAAGTTGCTGACAAACATACTCATGGGATTATCCACACCAGACTTGACGGGGACATGTCAACTTCTGGTACCGGAAAACTTTTGCAACCTGCTGTGGCAACTTCAAACACTCCATTTTCTGTGTCTGGGGATACTGACATAGACCGGAGGGCCAAAGGACCGGTCAAAGGATTCATGCACATGATCAAGGATGTGCACCAGCACTGGATGGGACCACCTAGCTGGGCTCAACTGTTGGATACGTGTCACCACTGGCATCAGTACCGAGACCCACGTGCTGCAGACTTAATCACGCAGACCCTGCAACATCAGCTCCAAGAAGCTCAACAGGCCGCCAATGAGGAGACTACACTGCAGTACAGACAATGGCTCCAAACTGGCTACAACAAGGGACCGCGGGGCTTGTTTCGGAGTCTCAAAAGCAGTGAGCTGGCGTGGGAGAGACCATACAGAACCATTCCAATGCCACAACGAATGGACCAAAGACTCCATGACTGGGGACAACTCTGGCACATCAGACAGGACAACGATCCACATCCCAGACCAAGCTTGCAGCAAGAAGCCATGAACCAGGCACAACAGCTTGACCCACTTACCTCAGGTCAACTCCAACGAGTCCTCAAGGCACTACCAGAAAAGGCCAGTGGGCCAGATGCTGTCTCGACGCAACTCTTGCGTAGCATCCCACCCTTGGCCCCCTAATCTGCAGCTCTACGAAAACCATGGAGGCCAGTGCAGAATTACCAACCCAGCAAAAGATGCACTTGGTGGTCACGCCACCCAAGAACAGTCGAATGGAGAGACCCATCACCCTCACTTCCGTTCTCTGGAGGGTGTGGCGCAAACTCCGCAAGCCCCTGCTGGATCAATGGCAACGTCAACTTCCAGCATTCATGGACCATGACAAGGCAAGACCGGGAGCTTGTGTCCTCCATGTGGCCCTGACCAGGCTCTTGAGGCGAGAAGTCCATAAAGCTCGCCACAAACACGGAGTTACGGTGCTCACGGATATGTCCACCTTCTACGACACCATCCATCTCAGTCGCTTGCAAGAGGAAGCAGTCAAGCTCGGTTACCCGGTCCTCCTCTTAGAACTGGCCACGCAGCTCTACTGTGGTCCAAAGGCCATTTTGGCCGAACAGGAAATGACACCGTTCTTCCACGTGGACCACGGGATCCCGGCTGGTTGCCCACAAGCACCTATGCTGGCAAAAGTGGTGTTGGCACCGGCCGGAAGGAAAGCCATCCACACGCCCATTTATCAAGTTGGGTTGATGATGTGGGCTTCGATCTCCAAGCAGACACACCCCTCCAGGTGGCACAGCAAGCCGTAGCAGCTTACAAGGACCTGTACAGTGCAGTGTACAGCAGGCTCGCAGCCCTTGGCTTAAAGGTCAACCCAAAGAAGACGGCTTTTGTGGCCACAGACAAAAGCACAGACCATGCCTTGAAGAGCCTGCTCACGGACCAAGACCCACCAGTCACCACTGTGATGCGAGATCTCGGCATTGATCATCAAGCAGCACGCAGACGACGAATCCCAGTACAACCACAACGCTTCCAGAAGGCACAACAAAGGAAAGTCCGCCTCAACACACTCAATATTCCAGCTTTGAAGATCCGACTTCGCCTGCGCAAAGGTGGGATTCAACCGGTGGCACTATGGGGCCTGGAAGCACAAGGCTTAGCCCCGAGATACCACAAGGCCATGAGACACCACGCTGGAGGACTCCTTGACAGCACATACGACCTCCATGGAAACAGATACATGGATCCAGCAGATCAAATCCTCATCCATCACATCAAAGCCATGCACCAGCTCTTTCACACCTGGCCTGAGGAACAACAATCTCATATTGAACAAGCCTGGCAGGCCATTCATGACCAGCTCCACGACAAGCAATACCAATGGTATACTGTACGGGGACACATGGCAGCGACCATCCCCTACATGATGGAATGGAAATGGCAAGCGCACCACCTCCATAGATGGACACGACCCGCCAACGACTGCCTCTTGGAGAATGAGATTTCCCTCCACGATCCCTGGTGGAAAGTGGAACGAGCCCTACTGCTTGAAGCCAAACAGCAGAGGACAGCCAGACTGGCACAACAGCCACACCACAAGCACCTGATCACCGGGCTTGACTGGCACACTTTCCGACAAGTGCATCGCACCCTTCCAGCGGATCCCAAGCCTCATCTCAAGACCTGGGTACAAGCAGCCATCCACTACAAGGAAGGTGGACAACCAAAACCATGTCCCATCTGCCACGTCCCGGCAACTCCCAAGCACATTCTCTGGGCGCGCAAGTGGCACCACCATCAAAAGCACAAGCCAATGCCCCCGGAGTGGGCCGAGAGGATACTTCACCGTGACGAAGAACCTTTGTGGAGTCATGGTTGGATACCACTCGAACCACAAGAGCAGTGCACCGTCCAGCACCCCTATGTGGGCCATGGCTCGTGGCAGGACCTGCAAGCCCTTGCCCCACACCAATACCAAGGCTGGGCATTCACCCTCGATGCCACGCCATCGACATATGACACTCGCAGCCAGCTCTGGGTGTTTGGCCTCTGTGTCCACCACATGACCCTGGGACAACTGCAGCGCCTTGGAGCAATCGCAGGGATCCCAAGCCCGCCACACAACAAAACCAGGGCACTCTTGGCCGGACTCGTGTCTTGGCACAGCACACCACCACACCGGTACGAGTCATAGTGCAGTTGGCCTCAGTTTGGGAGATTTGGACGAACCCTCACAAGAGAGCTCCCTTTCAAGATCTCCTGGAGCAAATCACTGCAGAAGATCTGGCCAGGGTCACGGTCTTGTATGTGAGCCGCAACACCAAGACCCCAGATGCGCCGGGAAACGAACCTCAGCTGTGCAGAAGACAAAGAGATGCAGCACTTGTGGCATGGGAGCGCGTCAATGCCCTCCATGACAAACGCCAAACAGAATGGCAGGCAGTCCTTGATGCTGATCATAAGATCATCTACCAGCATGCAGCCGAGCGGCTCTCCAAGATCTTTGCCGATAAAGACCACTACATCCACCAGAAGGCACCCAAGCATCAAGGCAAGAACACGAAACAGTACAAGAAGCAGCTTGTGGCACAGTGTCAACGACCATGGCAGTCACCACAACATCGATGGACCACCCATCGCAGTGGGTACCAATGTGGAGTGTGCGGACTCCGGATACACCAGGCTCTCACTGTCCAAACCATTGAGGACCGTCTCCAGCAGGCATGCCCACAACTCACCCTGGAGGCACAGCAAGTTGAACAGCTAAGTCACTTCCCAAGAAGATGACCCGCATTCAGGTCATTCACCAGCTACTGGCCAAGCAACAGCAGGAGGAGCCACACCCTGACCAACACAGGTTTGAGGAGACAACAGGCTACCTTCGTTGTGGGAAATGTGGATGCAGTGTCCACAAGCAGACTAATGAAGCAGCCTTCACAGCCTTTCTGCAAAGTCCATGCTTGGACAGGGCGTATGACCAACCACATGACGCTCATTCCAGTCACCAACTGTGGCAGAAAGGTGACAAAGTG